ATACTATTTATGTGACATGGTTTTGATATAATATATGCATATTTAAAATCTCAAACTGTTTGATGCACTGACTTTTTCACTTACCATGGGTAGTTGGTAAGTTGTTGGTGAAGTAGTTGGTGAAATCACATTTCATTTTGTGCAACTGACCCATTTTCCTTTCAAAACCAGGCACAGTTAAAATAGCTTTTCAGTCCACTTGTTTGTTGTTGATTTTTGCATTTGCATTTGGCTTAGAGTTCCTAAGTGGACCTTTACGTAACTTTAAAAGGCTGAATGACCAATTTCCCGATATATTCCAATATATAGAAATGGTATCTTTTTTTTTTTAAAGTTGGACCTTCTATAATAAAAAGCAGATCTTGATCTCCAAACAGTTGACTTTGCCTATGCTAAAATTGTGCCATCAGTCAGCATTTTCTCAGTAATTTATTCCCCAGTAATTAAACTGCAATGTTGGATTTTTTTTGTAGTAAGTCAGAAGATGAGCGGCTGCAGCAAGAGTTGATCTGTGTCAGAGATTTGTGAATACAGCCAAGAATGGCACAGACACCAGGCTTTACATGGTTGTGTCATGTGAGAACTGGCATCTCAGTCTATAAACTAAATGCTGACCCTGGGTAATGCCTGAAAATCTGAAAAAATCTGAAAAACAGATGGAGGCGATGTTAAGAGCTAATCAATACCTGTAAATGTTACACTTGCTTACGCTTAGCGTAAGCAACATGTGTCTGGTGCTAGGTTTGCTTTAAGGTCCTAAAACTATACTTTTTTGAGAATATTTCTATATATTGTGACATGTCAGGAAATTCTCCATTGATGCTTGTATTGTAAAAGATTATGGAGGCTTCAATCATTGCTTCTTCTGATGAAAGCTAGACACTCAGCTTCTGTGCTGTTTCAATAGCCATTATACATTTGAGGCACAGAAAACGTGTGCAGATGAGCAGTTCTGCCTTCACTCGGACAGGCTGGATACCTATTCTTGGTCAGTGATTCAGAATGTATTGAAGCTGGGTAAAGACATTTTCATAAGGAGAACAATTGCAATGACCATATTTCTGTTAGTACAAGTTTCCTTCATAATGTGCTTTATTAGTACTTTACCTGCAGCAGATACTCCCATATTTTGGACAGTAGAGAGCATCATTGTACAAGCCTGAAAAAAGATCTACACTGGCACAGAAGACTGCATTGGGGGAGTTTGCATTAGGGAGGATCACAATTCATGCTGAGATTATGTGGAAAATAAAAATCAGTTCATGAAAAATAAACCATACAAAAAGCCATAGCAAAATCTTTTCTTTCTTGACACATTTTTATTTTAATGAAAATGTACTTAATAATGTATAATATTTTGTTGTTGACCAGGTACATCATGGCACACTGACTGATCGATTTGTTTATGTCTCTAAAATAAAAAGAACAAGTCCACAAAACCTGACATTTTCTAGAGTCTCAGTGACATTTTCACTCTTTGTTTCATAAAGGAAAATAAATATTAATAATGTTCTTACATTTTTATAAAAGAAACACATTGTCTGATGTTTACATGGTATAAACCATGTTAGTACAGCAATGAGAATCTGGTAAATTAATTTTGAGTATGACTGCACTTGCATACACATTATGCATTTGTACCTTGCACTGCAGGCTATGAAAAACAAATGCCACTATGATGGGTCATCATTACAGAAGATTCAGTAAGACGCTTTAACTAAAGGGGTCGGGAATGTTCACTCAATAATTAGAGTGGATATTCATTTAAATTATCCAAAATTCAATTTACTTATTTCATCTGTGAATGATTGTTTTTATTTTAAGATAACAGGAATTTTCTTTTCACATGACTGGATGACTGATCTGAAAATTCACTCAATCTATTGAGTGAAGATTCTCAACTTCTTTAGTAAAGCAACTTTAACAGGGTTATTCAGAAAAGGGTGAAGAGTTTGGAGAGGGCAGGAGAAGTGAACAATCCAGACCAAAATAGCTGATTTGGAAAGATTCTCCAATACAGCTCACTATCCAGTTCAGCTATGTGGTCCTAGATTGCTCACTTCTCCTTCTTTCTCCAAACTCTTCACCCTTTTGTGAATAACCCAGTATATCTTTTTTTTACAGCGCTATGAATACATAGCACTGTAAACAAGTAAACCAGCTGTTTCTGGCCACCACTAGAGTGCGCTGATTGGAGACCGTAGACCTGGTCTGCTTTCAATGATCAACCCATCTCTATGTGGATGATTTTCTAGAGCACAGGTTGCAGACAGCACAGCTGGAAACAGGATTCATCTTCAGTAAAGGAAGCCATTAATGCTTTTCCAAGCTATCTTTTTAAGACTCAGCACGGGTTGATGGAAGCCCTAACCAAGCACTAAGGTCTCTATAGCGTGTATTTGGACATGAGGAGGTAGAGCTGCTCTGTATATTATGTGGATCTGCCTTTTTTAGAGGTTGCTTGGAAAAGTGCAAACATATGTTTTAATGAAGTACATTAATACTTTGGAGAAGTAGCCAGAAATGTAAAAAAATAAAAATGATAGATATACTCAATAATTTACACAAAAATGTTCATCATTGATACAATTCATAATTGTGATTCCTTGTAGAACCAGAGCCAGGCAATATATAATCCCCCAATCACCAAAAAATTTTACATTGTATGTCAGCCTTTTTTACCTTATGGGTCTAAAATCATAAACTGACTTAGTGATTGAGGTTTAGTACTGGCAAACTTACTTTTACTAGTTGTCTAGATGTCATGCTAACCCATTGGCCCTAATAATTTCTGAATCAGATATGGGGAAAATATGCAATTCAGGGAAGTTAGAAACTCTTATCTGCAGTCCTGTTCTGAATGAGTGACTCAAAAATTGAAGCAAGAGGATCAGCATGACAGCCAGACAGCTAACATCTTAGGAAGAAGGCCAACAATGTGTACCTCTCATGGCAGGTTCAGCCTAAGTGTTGACTAAACAAGATGCCTGCTATTACACATAATAGCCAGAAAAGCCTACCTCTTCAGGTCATTACAAAGAACACAAACACAGATTCCCAAAGGAAAATGAGAATGTATTTACAGGTAAAAGTATAAAAATATATAGAAGAATCCCATATTTTTTTGGAGCTGGGCAGAAAAAAGTTATATGACATCAAAGTTTGTATGGCAAGTGTCCTTCTCCTGTAAAATGAGGCTGTATTGAAGAAACTCAGATCACACCTTCTGTTTAGCATGGGTTGAAGTCCCCTAATGTGTACAGTAAGTAAGTAAGTAAGTGCTTCCTTAATGGGGGGGGGGGGGGGGGGGGGGGGGGGGGGGGGGGGGGGGGGGGGGGGGGGGGGGGGGGGGGGGGGGGGGGGGGGGGGGGGGGGGGGGGGGGGGGGGGGGGGGGGGGGGGGGGGGGGGGGGGGGGGGGGGGGGGGGGGGGGGGGGGG